TACAACTAAGAAGTGCTAAGATTAAATAGCCTTCGGGTTTTTGGACTGTAGTTCATTAAGTGCATGTCTGCCTTTAATGGTATTCCCCAATTTATTTTCCTATTATAATTGGTAAAGTTAGGTGATGACAGTGTGCTGTCTGGCTACTTAATTTTGTTCTTTCTTCCCTGGGGAGATGATGGTGACCTATTTTAGGATAGTTCTTCATTGAATCATGCAGTAATGCTTTTAAAACAAAGAATTGCAGTAAACTCAAAAGGGAATTTGAAATTTTTATGGGATAGTTAATTCATAATTAAATATTGCCTCCCAACAACCATAAATAAGAAAATGGGAAGTAGAAAACTATGCTTTTAAGATGGATTATTCAATATTGAAGGCAAAGCTATTTGCAAAACATTCAAATGTGTTAATTCATCAGCAGAGTGTAGCCAGAATTGGTTCATTTTTCTACCAGCTCAAAAAAGATAAAGATGATACAGTAAAATAATCAAATTCAAATAGTGCCTCAATTGATTTAGCAGACAGTCTGAGGTATTCCTGGGTTTGTTAACAGAAGACAGATGGAGTTTTCTTCCTTACCTCTTCTTACAATGTAAATAACCAGTTCTGTGGAAATCTAAACGGCTCGTGAATTAATTGATAAGATAATGTTAAACATGTGCTATGGTAGTATAAACTTTTTTGCTATTTAAAAACTGCTCTGGTTCATTACAGCATGCTGTATTTATGGTCTCTTTATGTATTAGGTAAAACATAATTCTTTTTTTAGGTATAAATGAAGTTCTTTATGCATTGAAGCTGTCTCTGGTACAGATATTGCAACACCGTTATTTTTGAAATCATCAATGTTAAGATGTGACTTAACATCTTAACATCTTAGGAGAGCTTCTGTGCAAAGATGTTTTGGGTCAGCTGCTTTTTCTGTTGTATGCCTTTTCTGTTGAGTTCTTTCTGGCTGTTGATGTGGTGGGTTGTCTGTGACCAAAACCCTCAATAAGGATTGTAGCTATTCGTAATAGAAATGAGGTGGTTTTATATTGGACCTGTTTAGATGTTGTTTCAGAACTAGTTCTATTTTCTTCCTTTTGTGCCTTCTCACAGTTTGAGGTTGTGTTAACAAACATCCAGGAATAAGACAAATTAATTCAACTGATTAATCAATGCTTATCTTACTGCTTCTCTTCCATGCTGTTTGGTTTATCTGAGAAACATGCAGCCAGATGCATTTTTTTTCCTTGAAGTGCACTGAAGCCTCTGCTTTTTTTTTTTGTCCATTGATATCTATCAAGTTTATGTCCTCACTGCAAAGTCCTTGCCAATTGCTGTTAGACTACAGTTGGCTTGTTGAACAATATAGTCAGGCTAAAAACTATTATGTGAGAGTTGAGATGCCAAACACCTCTGGATATGTATTCAAACAAAGATAGTGCACTTCTAAGCAGATGCTGCACAGCCATCTCTAGATTACTTCCCATATTCTCAGTGCTTGGAGCATGCTAGCCTTGTAATATAAACAAATACTCTTATCTACTGTGATTGAAATAATATAATTCCAGTGCAGTTTAGCCTTGTTCTACGAAGGTGAGAACTAATTTCCTCTGTTTTGAACGTCTGGTTTATCTGTGGTTCAAATGGGTATGACAAGAGGTTCAAATTAACTCATGGATTCCCCACTGACACTCGAACAGAGCAGTCTCTGGGAATAGGCACAGCTCTGTCCAAGCTGAGGGCATTAAGCTCGGATCTTCAATTAAATGAAGGCCTAAGCACTGAAACCTTGGACTAATGGAGAATTGTGTCAATGTATCTTCACTACTGTATAAACATGTACTTCTCTTGAATTAAGAGTTTTTTTCACAAATGAGACAATTGTCTTGACATTCTCTTATTTGTAGTCTTTAAGGGACAAGTATTCATAACTTGGTTCGGCATGACTTGAGTTTTAGGTCATAATATCTGAATGGTTTGTGATCATTAAATTTCTATTATCTCTAAAACACTGCTAGTGGTATAAACCCTACTTTAACATTCCAAAACCTGCAAATTTTGATGCTCTACTGACAAAGCATGAGAACCATGAGACTACTGTAAATAACTTGCCAGTATGTATATGTTTGACCGGATGCATTAGAGTATATCTTCATAGAGCAACTTTAAAAGAGTCAAATTGTTTTGAGACTTTAGAGGAACAGCATGTTTTGGTGCTTTAGATTGTTCAGTTAAGTGCCTAATATGAGCACCTTTAGGCACTTAAGGTTTTGAAAATGGTTTGTTCCTATGCTAGTTGCTAAGATTTTGTTCTAATACCTTGCCAGAAGGGACAATTGGATAGTGTTTTTCCTCTTTGTTACTATAAACCTCTTGACCAATAGAAGTAGTGTTAAAATAGACCAGGCTTCTGGTTTTGCTGACTTCTACTGTTGGTGTTGAAAGAGGAATGAGGATGCCAAGGGAGAGATGCCGTAGACGCCATACCATACAGGACTTGAGCTGCTCACAGGCTGGCTCAGCTCTGCACTGCCAAAGCAGGTGCAGTGTTAGGTCCTTCACATCTGTTTTGCTTTACTAACATGGAAATGTCTATAGGTATCTGCTGCTGTTCTGGCCTTCCGTGGGCCACAGGGAAAAGAAGAGTAGGTTTTATCAAATTTCAGCACTAGGTAACTGCTTTCAGTAGATAAATGAAAAGTAAATAGTCATGATCAATATGCTGTCATATTCTACCACTGTAAAATGATCATTACCTGTTAGCACAGTTAAATTGTATTCCAGGGTTTTTATACACACCCTGTAATGCATAAATGATAAACCAGTTTGGGGAATCTCTAAATTGATGAAAAAATGAGAAGCACTGCCTACTGTTAGCATATGATATACATAAACACGTAACATAAAGGAAAAAAATTATACAAATGAAAAATGGTCATACTGCTAAAGATTTAACATGCCTTAAAGTGATTTGCATATTCAGAGTTACACAGTAGCTATGTAGAAAACATAATAGAAACATAATAATCAGATGCTTCATTTTTACAGTAAGCTACACTGAGTTCAGTGCCTCTGGAGAAACCTAAAACATCAGATACAAATTTGAACAGGAAGTCAATTTGTTTGCATATGCTGGGAAAAATCACAGATACCCAGCTAAGCACAGGAAAATGTGTCACTAACAGCCAGCATTTTCGACTGGGGGAAGATGGTTTTAGAATACCATCATGTTTCTTCAGCTATCAATAGCAGTATAACCAGACTTGATGTAATTAAAAACTGAAATAAGGTTCTATTAACACTGTTGTATGTCAGTTCTGCTCTTCTGCCTTTCTTGGCATGAGTTGTGCTGGAATTGCCTTCCAAACTATGTAACATTGGCTTGCTTGTTTTCCCTGTTACATAACCATTTCTAAAGTTTGGGGAAGTGCTGTGATTCTTTGACCAGGCTGTCTTTTTTTCCCCACTCCTGATGTGCATTAATTGAAGTGAAATGAAAGAACTGCTTCAAATTATTTCTGGCCTCTTGGAAAACCTCCCCTGTGACTGAAATTGTTTTTTCAGTGCCACTTGACTGTTTCTGTTAGTAGCAATGGCCTTGTTCCACACCTGGGTTTCCTGCTTTGACTGTAAGTCACCTAGACAATCTCCTCTTGCAAGTTCCCTTAAGTTGGAGAACTGTCCCACTGGGATGTTTGGGGTTTCCTTGGTTGACAGGTGGGTGCTGCTGGAGGGTACGTTTCCCACACAGGCACAGGGGAGCTCTACCTGCTCCCAGTCAGCACGGGGATTGGAGAGGTAACTGCCAAAGGCTTGGTTTGAAACGAGGCTCATGTTAGCTGGGGTTGCCCTGGCAGTTCCTCTCTATCAACTTGAGTTAACAGATTTGGGATTTGTCCCCTTGGTACCATTTAAGAGACTTTTTCCTACAAACTGTGTGGCCACATAGATGTTTCTGCATTTACTGCTAGCAAACAAGGTAAGCAAGTGATAAGCAGCTAATACCTGATGCATCATCCGTAGGTGCCTTGATTGATCCGTAGGTCAGGCTTGATTATTTTTTTCCCTAGCACAAACTCGCGTGTGGCGCACTTGGAGGAATTACGACTCCTGCTGTAGCAGCTCTGCCGTCCTGCAGGGAAACTTGGAGCCGTGCAGTTTCCCCTGCCACCAGCGGGTGCCTCCCTCGGCACTGCTTAGTGGTGTCTCCAGCTGCCGGGGCAGAGGCTGGAACGAGGGGAGAGGAGCGGATCGGGTCTCGGGAGTTCTGCCGGGGTTTATTGGTATCGCAGCTTGGGCAGAAGTGCAGAGAAAGCTTCCAGGACTGAGCTGGTTTGCTTAACGTTACTACTAGTGGTTTTCCTAAGAAGGAACTTGGTATAATCAAGCCTTAAAAACATGGAGCGGAGGAACCAAGAGCTGTTCGTTGCTTGTTTTCAAGGACTGATGGAGTGTGTGGTGTGCCTACGTCTTGCTGCGTGCATCATGGACACAGACCTGAGCGCTCACCCAGGAAACCGAGCTGTGGAAGAAGCAGCTTCCTCGTGCAGCTGCCAGGCTGGCGTGCGGGATGCACTTGTGTTCATTGGTACTGCTTAGCCCCTCCCAGCCGGACCAGTGGGTAACAAAATGGGAATTAGACTCTTAAAGTTAGTCCAGAACTTAGCGGAGATACAGATGTCTCCACTTAGCCTTTCTATTTTTGTACCAGCTCTACTGGAATGTTATAATATTATTGTCACTCCGAGAAGAGAACTTGTTAAAGAAGTATTTTTCTACCTTAAAGAAGAGCTGCAATATTTAGCAAATGCCGCAGAGCTGGAAGGACAGCTTCATGGAAATGGAGTTTCTCAGTCATTAAGGAAGTTAAAAGCGTTTTGCACTATTACAGCTTGGGGTAATATTTTTATGATAGGAAGTTATTTTTTCCCCAGAAGGCAAATAAGCTGAAGTTAAGGTGTTTTGTTCTTTTATTGACTTTGGTTTTTATTGAGTTACACTGTTTCACAATGTCAGAAGTATTAATTGAACTGGATAAATTTTCTTCAGATGAAATTGAGAGCAGAGAGGATTCCAAGTCAGACTTTAAGGAAGGCAAATTGAGTGATTTATGTGCCGATTATCATGGTTTTCAACTTCACTACTCGCGTTCTGCACCAGCTGGTAAGCCTGCCTTTATATAAACTGTTTCCTCAGCTCTGTGTTCATTGACTCCTGTAACATGTGAGTGAACTATAAGACCAGATGAGCTACGCGGCAGTCTTTGCTGTCACATGTATGCAATCTGAAGTTGTTTTTACTTAAGATAAAGGGTGGAACACACATGCAAGCAAACACTTTTCAGCATCATCTGAGTGCTCCAGCATACAAGGTACTGCTAGAAGAGCCCAAGAGGCTGTTACCTTGTGTTACCTGGATGGCAATCTGTATGTGGGTGCTAACATGGTTCTAATCTAAATGCAAATCAGAGCAGCCCAAGGAGCTGTGCTGGCTGGCGTTATGCTTGGTGCAGTGTGTACCTGAGGTGTGCCCTCTGGTGCTTGTGCTGTGCCTCCTCTTTTGCTTTCCTCTGGCTTTATCACATCAGGGCTTGTGAAGTGGAAAATGTGCATGCTATAAGGCTCTTCCATGACCATTGTTACTCATCTATAGCTTTTATTTTGGGGCAGGTGTTAGAATAGCTATATATAGCTACTCTAGCTGATAGAGCTAGAACAACTCCCCCCCCCAAAAAAAAATGTCAATTAACTAAGTGTCTTGAAACTTGAGTTTCTCTAAAAATTCAATTACAAAAACGTACAGAATGTGGCTGTCTTTTTCTAACAGAACCACGGTTGATCAATGTAATCTCATGTAAGTCTTTAATGCCTACTAAAGCATTGAATGGAAATACATTTAGGGAATCCTGTGTAAGAATGACTAGTATCTTGTGGACTACATGTATTTGGACTTGCACTGCTCCTGAGGAATAATCAGTTTTTATTTCCATGCTTATATGATCAATGGAACAAAATGTAAGCAAGAGAAATAGGCAATATCTGAATATATGACACATGTCCTATAACAGGATAACCTGCAAGATCTGGAAGACTGCAACTTCTGTTCAGCTCAAGTAGGTGAATATGGATATAACTTTGACATTTTCAACTCTGAAGAACTTCTGGAACAGCTGGTCCTTAAATTCAGTTCTTGCACTTGAAAATGGACACAAATGCCATGCTATCTGTTCTCTTGCAAGACAAAATATATTGTGCTTTCCTTACTAGAAACTGTTTTATTTTATTTTTTTTTTTTACAACTTGACTGTATTTCTTATGTTGCTTTTTTCATAGTAGAAATGCTTGTGCAATCTGGGGATTTTATGGAAACAGGTCTTTGCAAGTTCAGGAATTGCATTTGTCTGTTCCCTGGGATCCTGCACTGTAACTTAAAAATTACCTCTCCTACCCCAAACTGTCATTAAGGTACTTGTGCCTGCAGTAGGTGATGCGCTTTGCTATATTACCAGAAAGTCCAAGTAATCTGTTCTAGCCTATCTTGTCAATCAATTAAAAAATGACTCTTCAGCTTAAGTAGTGTATTTTTAGTGGGATGGTAACACATTTGCAGGAGAGAGGGGGAAAAAATAAAACCACCTTGTGGGAGTCTTATGCTCAAAATAAGATACTTTTTGGAAGAATTACTTATTGGAATTATTTGTTGCAAATGATATACTTGGGCTGGCGTGATATGATCATCCTGCATAAATGCCTTTTCTATGCGTTAGGGGTTTTTTTGTTTTTGTATCATGAGAAGAATGAGGTATGCTGATGCTTCATATTTCTGATTTGGATGAATGGTTGTGGTCCATGGAATGGAGTGCTAATGCAGTTTCTCTTTCTTTGGAGCTTTTCCTTGATATACTTTGCCAGTGTTTGAAGCAAGCAAGTCATCCGTAGTTCAGTCTTGCATTGGGTTGGCAGAAATCTGAATGAAAGTGGCCAACTTCCATTCGGATTCCACATGTCATTTCCTAAAGGAACTTCTTGATCACCTATAGTTATTAAAAAAAAAAAAAGCTTTTGCTTGTATTAAAATGAATCTGATTTCTTCAAGAACCATCTGTTTCTTAGTAGTGCTGTCTCACAGGCAAAATGAAACCTTTAAGCAATGGAAGCAAGAAACATTTTTGTCAGGCAGTGACAATAATATCAGAAATCTTCCAAGATGTCAACATGCATCATACCTCAGGGTGTTGCACCTGGTTTTTCTGGTGCTGGCTCCTGTGTGCCACAGTATTCTACTCTCTAAGGATTCCAAATCTTTCACTTAGTCTTGATGGTTTTTAAGAAATGAAGTATTTTTGAAAAGGATTTAAAGAACTGTTCTAAAATCATACCAAGCACCAACAAATGATAGCATAAAGTATAAAACATTAGAACTCAGTGTAAACCTAGAAGAAGCATTAGAATATTTTTCTTCTGCTCACATGCATTGAGTTGTTCTTGAAAAGTAATTTATCACACTTGTGTCGTGACTTATGTACAAAACAGAATTCAATATAGAAATACGGTCACTTCAGAGAAAGCCTTCTCCTGTAGCGTGCCAGTTGTTTAATTATAAACATGGCACTCAGCAGTGCTAATGCAGAAAAATGAATTGTCTGATGAAGTAGTATCCTGAAATAGTGTAATGTTATATAAACAGGAAATGGAATTGTCATTAGAAGGCCTGATGTTTATTCAGAGTTACTGGACACAAACTTCTTAACTTTGTTTTTTGTTCCTGGTTTAACCAAACCCTTATCAATGGGATATAAATGTTCAATTGTTTTCCTATGCAACTCTTCTTAAATAAAAAAATATATATAAGCTGATTTTCTGTATACCACTGTCTTCATCACTGATGCAGGTACCAATTTCGAGGCATATTTATTTGGGATCTGCGAGTATGTCAGTAATGTCAATATATTCTAAAGTAATACCCTAGAATGTGAGGGACAGTGTTGTCAACCTTCGTGTGTTCTGATTTTTCCACATGGACCATCTTGATGGTTTGATGACTAATAGTGTAATATCAAGACTGTTTCAAAAGACAGAATTTTGAACTGACCTTCTTTAACAAAATGCTTAGTTGACCAAGTGAAAGGCCAATGTCAACTGATTGCCATGGCACTAAGGTCAGCTGAACTCTGAGTGAAAGCTTGAATGAAGCAGACATCCTGCAAACACATGATAATGTTGAAGCTGATGGTTTTTAAAGAGACCAAGCAATCCTTAAGAAAATAAAGTGATTTTTTTAATGTAAATACCTTGTTAAAAAAAAAAAACTTCAAAGAACGTTATTATTAACACATGATAACATGAGATAACGTGAAGGCCTATGTTGCAGATAGAGCAATTTGTCTTGACCAATGGGCACCAGAAGGTTATTTAAGTAAAAGAAACACAGAACTAGATCTTTGATCTAGACCTTTTGTATTTGCAGTTCAGAGTTCTCACAAGAAGCAAAGCCAGCCTCTACTCCAACTGTAAATATTTGTTCAGGCTTAAACCTTATCACTGATAGGTGCTATTCTGTTTCATTTCACTACTGCGGAAGTGACTGGAAACATGCAACCTACAATAACGGCCTTATCTACTGATTTTTGTTTTATGACTGCAAGACAAAAAACATTCTCAAGCATTTCTTGACTTACCTTCTAATATGTGCCAGAATGTGTTTTTTGTATAGCTTTCTCATGAATAAATATTTTTATTAAATATCAGCACATAAGCATAAGTGGGGTCAGAGTACAGCCCTCAGACCCTCGTGAAATGAGAAATGTTCTAAATGACACGGCTTGGACTCTTTGACTTCCGTCAGAACTATTGACTTAAGAAGGAATGAAACATCCAGGCTGGGAACAAACTTCATTTTCTGTGATCCTCCTACTGATGAGTGTTTAGGGGAACACACCTCACATTACGATAAAAATGCAATTTTATATAAGTTACTTCCATGGTTGGCCTGTTTGTGTTGGCAATCCCCTAGATACTTAATGCAGACATCAAAGGATCAAAACCAGGTATCCAAATCGTAGTGACTGACACGAGTTACTCTTGAATACTGAAGGATATATTCCTGCAAAATGCATTGAATGGTTTTTGTGGCAACAGCATAATAGGATGCTCAAGGAAAGGAAAATGTGAGTTAGTGGGTAGAAAAGTTAGAAATCAGTAAATGCTTTCAGTAGTTACCAGTTGGGCAGCCAGGACCATCGATGTTATAGGTGTGCATACACTATAACAACTGTGTGTATTTCAGCAAAGCTAGAAGACTGAATAGCCTTTGGGAGTTAATAAAGCAGTGCTAAATGAGCAAACTTCCCTGCAACTACCAACCCCTCTTTTCATTTCTGAAATGGTTATAGGTGGGACTAGCAGACTGAACTGAGTGCTCTTTATCATCCCTGTACATAACAGCCCTCTAAGTAACCTGTCTAGACAGCTTGCTATACCACTGCATCAGAAGAGCTCAAAGTGGACAAATTGTAGTCTCACCTCATAAGAATGAAGTCATATTATTTATGATATCAGCTGAAAGTAGAAGGCAGAGTGGTAGATCCCTGTCTTGTAAATGGAGCATTTCCTTTTACAAATTGAAATATTTAGTAGTTCAACAATATGAAATATCCAAAACCTACATGTTATATATGAGTTTCTTCTGATTGCAAAGCCCGATGTGAACATAAATCCTGCTTAACTATGCTTGACAAAATGTTTCCATCTCCACTGGATCATCAGAAGAATCCTCCTAAACTAGCATTTCCTATTTCTACAGTTTACCAAGTTTTAGTTTCTGAATCAAATTTTCTCCTTCCTTTTTTTTAAATTCTGATAAGTGCTTTGTTTGCAGTGCAATGTCCAGAGAACTGGATAAGTAAGGTGTAGTTTCCTGCAGATGTAAAAACACACAGGAAAAACAATTGAAAATACACCAAACATGGGAAACCATGTCTAATAGTTGCAGTGCAATTGAAGGTCTGTATATTAAAATAAATTCTGGATGAAGCTGCAGCCTGTTGTGGAATCAGAGTTTGAAACACTTCCACTAACCCAATTTTTTGAAACTATGCAAACATTTGTAAAATCAACAATTGTAACAAATGATTACACAAAGCTTAGGTGCTATTTTATACTTTC